TATGGGGAGAGCTACCTTTGGCAATCTTGCTTAAAGAGTTGCTTGTGCTCAACATTTTTGCGCTCTACCTGAGCGATCATCAACGCTGGCTATGAAGAATGAGTGCAGCTGGGGAGGATTAGATCTTGACAAAACCAGCAGGAGTTGTGGCGTAATGCTTCGACGCAGGTAAATGACGTACATAGGTATGAGGGAAGACTGGGTGAATATACTCCTAATAAATACATTTGTAGGCACATTTGTTTGCCTTTTTTTGTATTGCAAATTTGAGGGTTCAGTTAAACAAGCAAATGCAAGATATGGAAATAATTTCAACAACGACCTCGATAAAGAGTTATGTAGACGCAATTCAATTGTAAATTCACAAAAATAAAACAAATAAAACCGAACACGAAAAACCGGAAGAATTGAGAACAAGTATTGGCGATAAGCTTAATGGCCCGAAGAGCACACGGCTAGCATCGACGACATTGCGCACATTATAGCAAAAATAAACGTTTCGTCCGGGGTGCTGCTGGCCGTCAGTTACTCATGAGCAGTGGAACAGTGTGAATTCAAATTTCTTGATGCGGAAAACAGATTGCTGCAAATGTCGTGTTTTCTTAACAATAAATAACTGAGAGGGAGAAAAAAAAATATAATAACAAATAAAAAAAACAAAAACAAGCTGCAAATTTTTGAAAACAAGCGAAAACGTGAAAGAAAGCTATTACTCATTATTTTTTGCAAGCTAAACGTAGTTGACGTGCTGTAAATTGCGAGCCAAAAATATTAGCTAAAAGTAAAATTTGAAAATTGTTAAATAATTAAAAGAACAAAAACACTACTGAGTGCGGCTGATAGTGACGTGTATGCTCAACTATTTTTGGAAATTATTTAAATTGCACAGTTACATACATAGGTAGCACACCTGATTCGTTCCCAACGTACGCGAAGGGGGAAAAAATACGGAAAAACGTGGAAACGCAATAGACGAGTATTAAAGCAGGAGGAAGCAAGGCTGTTGGTTACATACATACATACATACAAAAATATTTTGTTCTAGAAAGCAGCGTGTTTACCACGTTGAAAACGTACAAAGCACAAACAACAACAACACTGTATACCAAAGGGCAACGACGCACAGTGTCAGTGATCGATGTCGACCCTACAAACGGTAAGCGAATTTGCAACAAAAAATAAATTTAAAAAAATAGCCCGCAAAAAAAAAAATTACACAAATCAGCTCATTCAAGTGTTCAAAGCTGGCACCTCATTATGCCATGCCATTCGCTGATAAAAATAACATACATACATATGTACAGATGTATGTATGTATTAAGGTGATTGACTTGGTTTTTCCAAACCGGTTTCCACCGTATTTTTAACCGACTTCCAAAAAAGGAGGAGGTTATCAGTTCGTCG